CTTTTTCCTCCCCCCCCCCCCCACCTGCAATTTTTCATAAATAAAATTACTGTTCACATTGTCCGATTGTCATGAAAAATGACAAGCTAATAAATTAAGCCATGACAAACAAATTTGGTCTTCATAATTAACCTTGTAAAACTACTCTTTAGACCATAAAATTGATGCTTGTGTGAGGTGGGGGAAAGGAAAAAGAACCTTTTGGGAGAGCTCATAAAAATAGCTCAGATTGGTCGACCCAAAAAAATAGTCAGACATAATTTTCAATTTTTTTTCAAAAAACCGCCCCCGCTAAAAAAAATCTCTGCCCACGCCATTGCTCCTACTGTATATTAAAACTAATCGAGAAATCTAACACCCTTTCACCGCCTACAAAAACGACGAACTTAGTAACCCTACCGTATTCGGGTTCTTCACTAATAATAACTCAGAAAAAAAATTGTTATCCATCCCCTCTAATAATCTATATTTACTTCTCTAATGATAAATTTCGAAAAATCCACAGCATAAGTTTTTCTGACTTGTTTTCTTGCAGCAATCAAATTGAAAAAAAGTCATTCTCAGACCCAAAAAAAGTATCGGCAAATGTAACGCACTTTTTTCAGTTTGGTCAGATTTCACTGAATAAATATTGCATGCAAAACTGTTTTCCAAAGAGGAACGGTATCTTTGATTAATTTTCAATTAACACTTAACTTTTTTTTAACTTTCTTTGGCATCTCTGTTTTTGCAATCTACTTTCTTTAGTGTCCAAAGCAAGTTTTTTTCTGTTTTCTTATTTTGATATTTAGTTTTGATGGTTTAATTTCTTTGCAAAAACTTAACGTCGTTTAACTTTACGAGATCTAATTACAAGAAAGAATTAAATTTAATAAAACAAAATGAAAAAAAAAATCAAAATTTGAGATTTTTTTAAATAAAAATCTTCCCCCCACATGCCTTATTAAGTTCAAAATGATAAGTTTCGAGCATAGTAACAAGCCAATTATTACAAATAAACTTCCTTCAACCAATTTGAATCGATATTTTAGACGGAT